GCCGCAACGGACAACCAGTGCCATGAGACGGCAACAACTGGCTGATCAGTCAGGATTGACAACTATGAGCGAGGATTCTTCAGAGTCCACTGATACACCACTTGCACCCCCAACCAGGCGAGCACCACAAAGGACGGTCAGTGCCATGAGGCGCCAACGATTGGCAGATCAGTCAGGCTTGTCAACAATGAGCGAAGAATCTGATACCCAAGATACTCCACTGTCTGCGCCAACAAGGAGAGCTCCACCAAGAACAATGAGTGCTATGAGACGGCAGCAGTTTGCTGATCAGTCAGGTTTGTCAACAATGAGTGAAGACTCAGCAGCTGCATCAACTCCCCGGGCACCAATGAGGGCAGCTCCAGTGAGAGCAGCAAGTATGGGTTTTGCTCCTCAAAGAAAGGCACCGCTTCGTACAGTCAGCAGTCTCAGGAGACAAGCGCTGCAACAACAGTCGGTGGCACCAATTGGCGAAGACGAAGAGCTGGATGACGCTCCAAGCAATCCTGCCCGATCGGCGCCGCTTCGGGCTGCAAGCATGAGTGTTGCCTTTGGCATGCGCTCATGCAATGACGCGCCGTCGTTGCCATCTCGAAGACAAGAGCCCCAGCGTGGGGTGCCTGCACGTACGATCAGTTCAAAGGTGCTTCGTGTCACTCCAGAACGATCGACAAGTCTGAGAAGACAGATCCCAGGAAGAAGCACGAACTCGGAGGTTACGGAACCGGAAGGTGAAGTAACTGTCTTGGAGAGAGCTGGGCCTGACCGTTCAGCTCCTCTTCGGGCTGCCAGTATGAACCTCGCAGCAATGGGTCGGCGCCCTCCTGCTCGAAGCGTGAGTGGCATGAGAAGGCAGATGCCTGGAAGGGATGGAGACGCTGCGAACCTAAATGGTGGAACAGCTGGTGCGCTTGGCGTTGGCGGAGAGAGTCGTTCGACGCCCCTTCGAGCGGCCAGCATGAATCTCGCTGCAATGGGAAGAAGGGCCCCTCCAGCTCGCACTGTCAGTGGAATGAGGCGACATTTTGCCCCTGGTGAACCGCAACGAGGCGTTCCTGCTCGCACGATCAGCTCGAAGGTGCTCAGAGTCACCCCCGAGCGCACAGTTAGTGGACTACGCAGGCAGGTCCCGGGACGGCCCACAGCACAGCCTGAACTGGAGGATCCTGGAAGCGTTACAGTTTTGGAAAGAAGCGACGACCGAACTCAAAGGTTGGCACCAATTCGTGCTGCAAGCATGAATTTGTCTCAGATGAGACGGATTGCATCCACAGTGAACAGGCATGAAGAAGAAAGCAGCGCCATTCAACGGAGAGAACCCCAGAGAGGTGTTCCTGACCGTACAATCAGCTCGAAGGCACTTCGGGTCACCCCTGAGCGATCTATTAGTCTGCGAAGACAGGCACCGGGTCGAGGTACACCGGGTTTTGCAGATACTCAAGGCATGGTGACGCTATTGCAAAGGAACCTCCCTGGACAGGAGGAAGGTCTGCAACCGGGTATGCCAGGCAGGTCCATTCCGCTCAGAGCAAGGAGTATGAACATGGCATCTTTGCGAGTTCAGAGACAGGCGAGCAACCGGGGTCTTGGGCAGATGGCTGCGATGGCCTCTGGTGGACAGAGGGAGGGCAATGGTGGTGGCGAAGTGAGACGCCAGCCGCCTCAACGAACTTCTTCCAAGGCTCTGCGAGTGACCCCCGAGCGCACCGCTAGTCTGCGCCGTCGACCACCCGGAAGAAGCACAGACACGAACGAGGCAAGTGGGGAAATAACGCTACTCGAGCGAACTGAACCTCCGCCGGTAGCAAAACCGGTGGCAGCCATGAGCCATGCTAGACCAAATAGAACTGCGAGCATGACTCTCAAAAATTACAGGCGAAGACGGTCGCTCGAGGCTGACGGTCTAAACAGCCTGATGCCTCAGCAGCAGTTAAACAGCGGTCTTGAAACAAGCAGTGCTGCAATTGCCAGTCAGCCATCATCGACTCCAGAGCGTCGGCTTCCAGGGAGAACTACAAGTGGCATGGTTGCGCGGGGTGGACCTATGCAGAGGCAGACCCCGTCTCGTGCTCAAAGTGTCAGTGCAGTAGCACCACCGAGGCGTCAGCTGCCCGAGCGCACCAGCAGCAGTCGAATGCGAATGGCCCCTACGAGCGCTGACAATGGGATGGGCTCTCGTCAGCTCCCGCAACGCACCAGCAGTAGCCGGATGAGGATGTCACCTACCAGGGCCCCGAGCAACAGTGGTCTCTCTGGTATGCGGCAACTACCACAACGCACCAGCAGCAGTCGCCAACATGGTGTGCCCGCGAGGCAGTCTGAGCCTGAAACGAATAATGTTCCTCGAAGGGAAACAAGTGAACGGTCTACTACTGTGGAATCGATGCGACCTGTTCCAAAGTCGAGCATGCCACTAGTTGCGCCTACAAGACGCGGTAGTGCGGTTACAGAGTCAAGCGACACTGATCCAGGAAGAATGGGAGTTCAGAGCGTACGGGCACCAAAGTCGGGCATGCCTGCACCCCCTACGAGACGTGGCAGTGTCGCTACCGAGTCCAGTGAGGTCGACACCAGCAGCGCCCGAGATTCCTCGATTGGTGGCACTCGCGTTTCTAAATCAAGCACGCAGTTGGTCCCACCAACAAGGCACGGAAGCGTTTCAAGCGAGGCCAGTAACACGCGTCTTTCAAAGCCGGTTATGCAGATGAATGCACCAACGAGGCGTCGGAGCGTGGATTCCGAATCCAGTGGCTCTGACCACGGAGACAAAACACCGGTATCACCAGCCGCGAAGGCGGAGCAGCATCTGGACTCGCGGCTTTCACCCGTCGCAAGAGCTCAGCAGTATTTGGACTCGAGGATCACTCCCGCTGCTAGGGCCCAACAGTATCTCGAAGGAAGCGAGACAGTATCTGATCCGAGGAACAAGCTTAGCAACCGAGCCACCGAAGAACGCCGGACGCGAAGGGGACTCGATACGGTCGATTCAAATTCTACGTCGAGCTTGCAGATGGAGACATTGAAATTGGATGCACCGCTGGATGACGTCATGGAGGACAGCAGAGAGTTGATTAAGAGTTCGCACTACATTTCGGCTGCCAGCTATCACCATATATTATCACAAGACAAAAGTGGTTCGGGCGACGAGAGTTCCACATCAGCCGATGGAATTGACGATTCCGAAAATGACGACAGTTCGGAGGGCGACGTTGATTCAGAGGAGAGAGCGGGCAGGAGCCATGGAAGCGAAAGCGACCTTCCTTCTCTTATTAATTCCGATAGCGACGACGAGCCTGTTGCCTCGATCTCTCAAGATAGACCCATTCCGAAATCTTCCGGCGGGACTTCTGAAGGTGATGGTTTGCTGGGCGCCTCGAAGCAAAAAGAACCGAAGAACGAGACTGTGATGCGTCAAGAGAATATATCATCTAAAAGCGCAAAGGACCGGGAGCAAGCCCAGACAACCATGGCTCCATCGAGATCACCGGAACGCCGAATGAGAAACTTCGGACCTCCTAGACGTCATGCAAGTAGTTCGAGCAGCGATGGAGGCAGCAATAATGAAGCACCCTCTAGAGCACAGAGCGCCAGTAATGAGAAGAAAATTGACAGCAAACAAGGCCCAACGGTTTTGAGTAAGCCCAAATCTACGAATGCCGGACCTCCTAGACGACGGTACAGTTCCAGCAGTGAGGAAGAAGAGGCCGAAACTAAGCCACAACTCCCGTCACGCGATGAGCCCAAACATTCCGATTCCAGTTCTCCCAAACGGCTCAACAGGTCCGGCAGTCACGAAGAGAAGGCTGCTGTCCAAACGGAACCTGCTGTGTCTGGATCAAGAACCTCCGATGCACATGTGCCTAAACTGTCAAATGCTGGCCCTCCAAAGCGGCGTTACAGCTCCAGTAGTGAGAATGAAGATGTTGAAACGGTGAAAAATGATGACAAACCAAAATCTGATGTCGTCTCCCCAGCAGTTGCAAACGCCGGTCCTCCTCGAAGGCGCTACAGTAGTTCCAACAGCGAGGAAGAAGATGTCGAACCATTGGAAATCGACGACCGTCCAAAATCCGCACCACCACCTGTGGTTGCAAATGCTGGACCACCGCAACGACGATACAGTAGTTCCAGCAGCGAGGAAGAGCATGTTGAAAACGAGTCGAACCCCCAGCTGCCTGATGCGCCCGAGCCAAAATCTACAAATGCCGGACCTCCCAGGCGACGATACAGTTCCAGCAGCAGCGAGGAAGAAAAGACCACACACGATTCAAAACTCCACTCACCTGATGAATGCGAGCCCAAGGATACCTCCAGGACTGAGAAAGATGACCAAACACTGCAATCACCTGATGCAATCAAGCACACGCATACCAATGCCGGTCCTCCCAGACGGCGATACAGTTCCAGCAGCGATGAAGGGGAAGATGCCGAACCAATGGAAATTGCAAAACTGCAATCACCGGATGCGACTGAGCCCATTCAAACAATTGTGGGCCCTGCAAAACCACCTGACAGCCCAAGCACCGAGAACGAAGAAGCAGAACCAATTGAAGATGATGCCCAACCACAGTCCAATGCAAACCCACCCAAGTTTTCAAATGCTGGGCCTCCAAAACGCCGATACAGTTCCAGCAGTGAAGAAGGGGAGGATACTGAACCAATGGAAAATGCAACACTGCAATCGTCGGATGCAAATAAGTCCAAGCTTACAAATGTGGGTCCTCCCAAACGGCGATACAGTTCCAGCAGTGAAGAAGTGGAGGATACTGAACCAATGGAAAATGCAACACTGCAATTGTCAGATGCAAATAAGTCCAAGCTTACAAATGTTGGTCCTCCCAAACGGCGATACAGTTCCAGCAGTGCAGAAGGGGAGGATGCTGAACCAATGGAAAATGCAAAACTGCAATCATCAGATGCAAATAAGTCCAAGCTTACAAATGTGGGTCCACCCAAACGGCGATACAGTTCCAGCAGTGAGGAACAACAGGATAGTATACCTTCGAAGGCTGAAGAGGTTTCACAATTGGATGCAGAGAAGCCAGATGTCTCAAGTGCTGTGCCCGAGGTTGCCGCTTTCGTGGAAACTGGAGAGTTTTCGCAACCAATAGATGTGAACGAGCGCAAGGCCAGTAATGCCGGTCCACCGAGTCGAAGGTACAGTTCCAGCAGCGCCGAGGAAGAGCAGAAGGCCACCAGCGCTGGAGAGGTGTCAAATCCACCAGCTGGGTCCACTGTTGTGTCTCCAAAGCAAATGCGGAGCAGCGCCGAGGATGGCATTGTGGCCCACACCGACAGCAAGATGGAAAAGGTACTCTATGATGCGGCGGCGACGATGAATTTCGGCATCCCGGTTGTCGAATACGTTGACGACGAAGATGAAGACGCCTCTGGCTATGGAGAAGTGGTTGAGATTGTGGAAAAAGTGGTGCCAGGACCCAAGTTGCACTATTCGGCTGTGACTGCCTCTGAAGTTGGCATTGGAGCGCCTCGGTCGCCATCACCTGATAAAGAAGATCCCAAGGTCACGAATGCTGGGCCTCCCCAACGACGACGCTACAGTTCAAGTAGCGACGAAGAAGCTGCCCCTATGGAAGCGAAGGATGCTATTCATTCCCATGTAACAAAGTTTACTGTTAAGAATGTGGGCCCGCCTAAGTGGCCGGGGGCTCAGCACAACAACCAAGGAGAGGCCGAAGGTACGGTCGAGAGGCCAAAAGTTGACCAGAAGAAAGACAATGAAGTCAAGACCTCTGCAGGACGAGACACGCATCAGACTGGGGACCAGAAGGAAAAGCAGCATGCAGAAATCAAGGTGCCTGAAGTGTCAGCAACAGGTCGAATTGACAACGCACCTATTAACGAAAACGACAAAGGGGCAATCGCATCTGAGTTTCAGGGCGGTACACCGTCCGCCAAATCGCCGACACCCCCCTCTATGCGACCGACAAGCACAGAAATTGTCCCCTATTCAGCTCAACCTGTCCCCTCCTTTCCGCAGAAGGTAATTGTGGGGAACGCCGCGCCGCCAAGACGCCGTGCTAGCTGTTCATCTCAGGGTGATGATGTGGAAGACGTGAAACCGAACGATGGCTGGAGCAAGAAAGGATACTCCAGTGAAGTCGCCAAGGAGCCTCCTCGAGTGGTTCCTGCAAATCCAGCAACTGGCATTCTGAAGAAACCCAATGCATCTACTGGTTTAACTACCGGGGCCACGGTGGCAACAGTGGCAAGCCCGCAGGGCATTTTGAAGAAACCCAAGCCAGTGACAACTGTTAGCACAACCCCTGAAACACCTCCAGGCATTCTGAAGAAGAAAGCTGGCGATCTGAAGCTTCGTCTACCCCGAAGACGAGAAAGTGTTGAAACAGTCAGCAGCACTGCTGCTGCTGCCACGCGTCCAGGAGAAAGAGCTGGCTCGACTTCAATAAAGACGATTCTTGAGGAATCCCAAAAAGGCACCCCGGAGAGCGTGGTCGGCAGAAATGCTCGCCCGCCCACGCGAAGGGAAAGTGTACCGATTGAAGAAGAGGACAGCCACTCTGCTTCAGAAAGTGACGACGAGTCGGATATGCCGCCTCTCGACGATCTGATGTCCATTAGAGACGACGAATCAATGCCCCCTCTTGACGATCTGGTTTCTGTTAAGGACGACGAGTCCATGCCGCCTCTGGATGATCTCGCGTCGGTAAAGGATGACGAATCTATGCCTCCTTTAGATGATCTCATGTCGGTCAAGGACGACGAGTCCATGCCTCCCCTTGATGACCTTGCGTCAGTAAGGGATGACGAATCAATGCCCCCGCTTGACGACGCAACATCAGTCCGCGATGATGAATCCTATTTCACCAGAGACGATGGCCTTTCTGTGAAGGAGGACGACGACTCGATGCCCGCTCTAGACGACGCAATGTCAATGATGGACGATGGAACTTCTGTCGTTGATGATGGTGATTCCATGCCTCCGATATCCGACGTGGCTTCGGCGTCTGTCCGGGACGACGAGTCCATGCTGCCAGCTTTTGACGAAAAAGACGACGACAGGTCCAAATCTGTTTCTGCTCATGACGACCAGGATACAACAACCAAGGAAGAACCACGTGGAAAAGGTAGTGCGCATGGAATCCCGCCCATCATCAACACTGGGATTTCGAAGAAGAAGAGGAGCGGGAACGTTGGCGTCTCCTTCGAGGGCGATTCCTCCTCGAGCAAAGTCCCCCCTGTGATCGATACCACTGTGTCTCTCGACCGAGTTTTCAAGCCCAACATTGTGGTAGTGGATGCGTCCGGCGAGCCCCAAAGTCGATCTACAAAGAGCAGCAACTACACAGAACTCACTGTGTTCAACCCGTACATGGCATCGCAACAAGACAGTATACAACAATCCTCGGCCAGTTCCCAAAGTGCACAAAGCCAAACAGAAGAAGCAAATGTTCCCAACAGCGACGAATCAGGCAATGACAACATTCCAGAAGTGGAACAGGCGTTGGGAAATGACGACTTGCTTGCAAATGAAAGCACAAGCAACCCGGTGACGGTTTTCAATAGGTGGAGCTGAAATGATGCCGTCGGACAGTCTTGTAGCAGAGTATGTCGGTCTGTGCTAAACGTCATGCGTGGTTGCTTTGTGAACGAAGACCGTCCGAGCTAAGATATGTCATCTTAGCAAGCTATGATTATAATAAAGAACATAAAAGATTAGACGAACACCTACAACACCTTTCTCACTACACAGCTGGCTACATGCCTAGTTGATGGGTTCGTGCCTGCAAGTAGCCTTTAGATAGAGAGCTTCAGAGTGCGGGGTCAGATGCACAAATTTGAAGGAAGATAAACGTCCTAATAAGTTTCAAAATATCCCGTGGAAGGATTGTACGCATCAAGTGAATCGTATGCGTAATGAAACAGGAGTTTAGGAGAATGTTTACATGATGGAATATGCTAACCATGAAAAGGAATCCGGCCGACTCTAGGCCGCCACAGCACTTGAGATCTTGTTTTTCTGTGTCCCGTGGGCCCAAATGGTGCCACGAAGCCAGGCAAAAGGCGCCTCCATTCCCATCTTGATCTTTTTCTTTAGCTTGCCTGACCCTTTTGTGTCGGTTCGGTGGGATTCTGTTTCACTGATTTCGCAATGGTCGCTGTCGTCACAATGGAGTCCCGAGTTGGACAAGGAGAAAGAATCACTAACGTCGTCTACGTGTCTCGTGACCCTTCGCAAAACATGGGGAGCATCCACTCCGCCAACACTAGTAGTTTTCTTGGCAAAGTGGGAGTGATAGGATCGAAGTTTGCCTTCTGCCTTGAGCTTGGAGTGACTGGACAATCCCATCATGGTGCTTGTAATGAGGAATTGGCAGATCATTCGATCAAAAAGTTCTCTGGAGAGCTTGGCGTTGTCTCTCCCCCGGGGATACTGAACGATCTCAACTATCTGTCGACGATGTCTTGTATCCACACCATGATCTGGGCAGAAAGCAAGTTGGAGGAATGCAACAAGGTACACATGGTGATCCATGTAGGGCTGATCTAAGAAGGTGTCTGCAATTTGCCTGTCTCCTTCAGCTCCAAATCGATCTGTCAAGTCACATGTCCATTCTCGGACATCCCCTGTTTGAGATTCTTTTTGGAGAGTTTGAGGCAACCAGCTAGGAATGTCAATTGTGGAGTACTCAGGAAGGACAACTTCAATGTCTGTCCCCATGGTTTTGGGTGATGCCAGTGGGAGTGTCTTCTTGGTGTGTTCATCCATTTGTTTCTCTTGCTGTGCAACCTTCTCCCCATACTCAAAGACTGCTCGAAGTGGAGCAAGAATGGCAGTGCATTCAGCTATTATTTCTTGGTCAATGGAAAAGGTCTGAAGACTCTGGACAAGGCAGTTGGCAACCATATCAAAGTGTGTAGGGCCCAACCCCAGTTCTCGAAAGAGACGAGTATGTGTTCGAAGCATATAGTCCAACAAATCTTCCTCTTCTGGTTTTTCATCCTCTTTCCCAAAGATGACCCGAAACAGCTTGATCTGGTGGGTTTTAAGGGCAGCTACAGAGATGTTCGCGAAGAAAGGCTTGAGGTCAGGGTTCTCCAAAATCGCGTCAAAGAAGGAGCATACCAAGAGGTTGACCATGTCGTCACCACCAAGACGATCATAGAGTGTTTCCCCACAATTGTTGGCAGAGGTGATTTTGGTTTGCTGGGAAGATGCTGTCATGGTGGTTATGATGCTATGATGCTATGAAGGGAGTAGAAGATTGGAGAGAGTGGGTACCTGGTAGCGATAGTGGAGTTTGTAGAGTAAGTTTTTTGTTTTTGCGCTTGTTTTTTGTTTTGTTTGGAGTTCAAATGTGAGCAAGACTGTGTTGGCTGGAAGGTCAAAGGGTGGCACAATATTCAATGTTCGGCTCATGTTCCCTGCTACCGGTCCGCTGGTCCGCTCGCAAAAAGTAAGTTGAAGTCATTTACGGTACGGTACCGGTACTCAGCACTTTCTTTAGTGCATGTTGCAAAAGCTTCAAGAAGAGAGAATTAGTCTACTAGTAGCTATTAATTAATAGCTAGTAGAGGCCTACTAGCTAGAATGAGAATGCAAAATCCAAAGCATGTACCGGGGGATGGAGCAATTCATTGCTCATCATTGCCCACCAAGGTTTTTGGCGAGGCAACCATTGCTTACCACTGCTTACCACTGCTTACCACTGCTTACCACTGCTTACCACTGCTTACCACTGCTTACCACTGCGTACCACCGCTGACCACTGTCGATGTCTACCACTGTTTACCGCTAGCTTTACCGCTGTTTACCGCTATCTTTGCCGCTGTTTACCACTATCTCACCGCTATCTTTACCATTGCCACCACTGTCAATCGCTGTCAACCACTGTTTACCACTGTCTTACTGTACAATGGAGCGGAAAGGAACCACAATGAATAGCACTTGATTTCTCCATCCCCCCGGTTTTGCTCTAAATCATTTATTTTTTGTCTCTTACCGCTTAACCCAGGTTCAATGTCAGCGTGCAATGGTACCAGTACCACTAGACTAAGTAGCTGAGTACTAATACCGTAAGAGTAGTTGCATGTACAGTACTAGTATGAGACATCTGGTACCGGTAGCTGTATCGGAATTACGACCTTGACGTTAAAGCTTTAGTTCGCCAAGGGTTCCGCTCAGTTGCACGTGGGTTTTGTGTGGGAAACCCACCCTAACTAAGTGAGGGTGTTCTCTTTTGCTGCTGTGGTACGTACAATACGGTACGGTACGGAGCTCGCTGCTCCATGAGGGCCTCCGGTTTACCGTAGATCTAGTACGTACGTAAGGGCCTTTTGGCGATCTTACCCCGAATAGCAGTCGCGTGAGTGCAGTCGCGACCGCGACCACAGTCGTGTGCAATCGCAAGCAGTCGCGTGCAAACGCGCATAAAGTCGCATAGAGGAGCGTGGAGTCGCGTGGAGTCGCGATTGGAAAAAATACAAGTACTATAAACGTTAGTCGCTAGTAGTCGCGTGGAGTCGCTTGGAACTGTTAAGACTTGTTCAGTAATACGAGTATAATTGCGCGACGTTAAGCGACGATTCGCGACTTCTCGTGACTCGCCAAACTTTGGGGTTTATCGTGACGTCATCTGGGGATTACCGGAGCCCCTCCACACATGCTCCATCCTCCAAACCAGAACCGGTATGCATAGTCTACGCTCTCCATACTCTCTGCGGTAGTGCTTGCTGGGTGCTGGGTGCTGGGTGCTGGGGGTTGGAGGTTGGAGGTTGAAGGTTTTAGCTAGCTAGTTGTCTACTAGCTAGGATCTTGGGATCAATTAATTGCATGCATACATCGTACAACTTCTCTGATTGGACCTGCCCTTCAACGTTTCTCTATTAGCAGAGGAGAGCACTGGATTTTGCCTGGAGTGCAGCTACTCGTACATGTATGTGCACTAGCTAGTTCTGCACTCGAATGGTTGCTCGAACCTCGCAACGAGCGGCACAGGTCCAGATTCCCGACAGATCCTCCAACCTCCAACGTTGACAGCCAGCAACTCAGAAGTCAACGGTCATTTGTGCACTGCTACTGAGCTGTGTACCTTTGTACATATATATAGTTGTCTGCTGAGGACTCCAGCATGCCCCCCCCCCCAGCTCATCAATGCTCAGACGTACTGCAATTAACATCCTCTGGCTGCTTCGCCCGTTTGGTATGGGAGCAGATCAAGCAATGAGTGGGATTCAGCAGTTCTTTTTTGTCACCTTATTATTGGCAACTGGCTTACTATCTCTTCCAATCAGAGTACTACAGTGCTTTCAATGCTACGGAGAGATTAGCCACACTCTGTACCGACCTTTGTTTCTCTAGCTAGATCCACTCCTACTATGCTACAGTATTCCTTCAAGCCTACCATTAAGGTTACTTTTGTTCTGGTGGATCATTGGTTTGTTCCTTCCCTATTCCTGGTGACCACTTGGATTTTGGAGACACCCACAACCGCGTCTCCAGCACCGTAAATGACCAAATACTGATTGTTGCCGATTGGTTTCAGTCCCGAAGCAAAGACTACCATGGGAACTTGACAGTCGGAATCACCCCGGTGATGATTGGGACATGTTTCCCAGGGTCGGCTGGCAATCAAGAGAGGTTTGATCGCTCTGGCGACAATTTTGGTGGGATCTTTTCCATCCAGAATGGCCCAACCAATGGCACATCGACCCAGCGGATTGGGATGATAGGGCCATCCGGTATCAATGTTATAAATCAATAGATAATCACCCGTGGTGGGGATGCGTTCTGGTTGAGGACCGGCGGCCACACCCTTGGCATCCCAACATCCGGGTCGTCCTTTCATGAGGATGCGACGGGATGGATCCTTGGGAATGGTCCAATTCAATCCATCATTCTTTGATTCGGCAATATATATGGTATCGGCCGTGTTGGAATTGCAAATAAATGCCAAGTGTGTCGGATGTGTATTGTTATCGTTGTGTGTCTTGTCAGTATCATCCCGAAAGAGCAAGGCCGCGCCACTGGTATAAGCAAAGGGAAAGACGGGTCCATGAAACGTCCATCCCTGGGGATCCAATGGATTGTCGGTTGTGGATAAATATGTCACTCGATGGGGCCAACAATTCTTGGTGCAATTGTCCCACGTGAGATAGTATTGTTGTGTTTTGGGTCGATACGTGATGCGAGGATCGGCGGCACCCCATGGCTGTGTGGGAGTAGGTTGTTGTTCCGCCCCGGCCCACGTTACCATGGATTCCGTCACTTTGTTACGAACTGCCATGGGTTTGTTGTTCAAGTTGACGGGTACTACTGCCAAGGCTCCGGCATTGACCCATTCGGGATGCTTTTGAGAATCGACCAAGCGAACAATGAGCCCATCAACTGTATCATGACTATCGTGCTGTTGTTGTTGCACTGGAAACCATGCCGGATTGAAATTGAATTCAAAATCCGAAGATCCATTGATGCGACTGATCAGAGATGCGTTGTGATTGCCAACGGCATCCAATTCCGTGACGACCACATCGTACAAGTGTTGACGGGGTGGATGATCCGTGCAGTTCTGGTTATTTTGATTGAGATTCAGATCTTCATCGGTTTGTAACACATAGGAAGACGAGTCTTTCGATAGTGGGAAAGCGGCAACTCCAACATGGAGATGAAGAAGGAATAACACAAGTACTATTGCATGGATGGATAGCGCTGCTGATGACAGTCGAACCATCGTCATTCCTTTCTGACATGCAGCTCCCCCCTCGAGTGAGTCTTCGGAACTTGCTTTCTTGCTTTGGCTTCATTTTTTGCCACGTTAAGGTTAGAGTTTCAGTACATTGTACCTTCTCCACCATGACAGCCTCACCGTCGCCTCTATCAAAACATCATGCCCCTCCTCTCCTTGCTAAACAAATAATGTGACACAATGTCCTCTACCACCAAAGGAGGCACTGGTCCTCCTCCATTAGCGTCTCATTTACTGGTGGCAGCAGCGTTGGAGACGTGGAGCCATCATTTGCTGTACATTCGGCGCGTGTATCCTTCCAGTTCCTTTTGCGACAGCTACTTTTTGGGAATTCGCTGCAAGGCCAATCGGCATCCGGGCGTGGTCGAGTACATTCGCGATGCCGTCCAAGTGGCCGTGCCGGTACTTCTCGGACAAACGGCATCCGAGTTTTGTCTCGAAGTGGTCGATGATCTTGTTCCACAAGACAAAGAAGAAGACAAAGACAATCCACTACTACTAGTAGAGAAGAAGAAGAAGGAGAAACATGACAGTCAAGACAACGATGAAGAATCCGAGGAAGACACTCCAATCGATTTGCCTCTCCATGATGACGACGACGACGACAAGTCAGAATCAGATTCGGAACAACAACCCCAACTCGGCAGCATCGCCCAAAAGCTCCAGGAACTGTCCACACCTTCCTCTTCACAAGAAGAATCGACACGCTCCCAAAAACGCAGACGAAAGGAAGAAGAAGAAGGTTCCACTGATGTCTCTTCCTCCAACGCCGCCCTCCAACCAGCAATATTGTTTCAAGAAAGGAGACAACACGAGACAAACAAAAAGAACAATCATCAAATAACAACACAACAGCAATCCCTCTCATCACTCTCGCAGCATGATCATCCGAGTCAACAACAAATGATTGACACTGTGGAGGATGAAGAACAAGAAGATGACGAAAAAGCTACGGATCCTGGATACAACATTGACTCGCTCACCCCCGACACGGAAGAAACAGCTCGTAGCCGCCTCCAATACAAGTCACTGCAAGTTCTGGAACGCTTTTCGCTCCACTTTTCCATGCCAACAACTACTACAACTCAAGAACAACAACAAACCATTGTCAATGTGGAGAACAACCGCAATAGCAAAAAGCCTCGATTGGGACGCTTTCGCCCCTCGGCGAAAAAACCAACACCAAAGCAGACGGATCCTTTCCAAGCCGTCTTGCCAGAGCTGGAACGGGCATTTCGAAACCTCATTCTCCACCTTGCCAGTTTGAAACGAGATCGCGTCTTGCCGTCCCATACCCTCTCCTTCAAGCTGCTATTGCTACACACAGAGGAAGGACACGTTGCCGTTTTGGATCGAGCCTTTTCCGTGGGGAGTTGGTATCCCGCATCGTCCGAAACGGACAAATGCATAGAGGAACGGCGACCTCGGTTGCCCTTGTACCAAGTGGGGGTGGGAAACAGTCTACTCGACATTCGATTTCATATGCAACGACTACAGCCAGATGGGGGATCGTAGGACATATCCAATACAGGACTACATACAGCTACTGTAGTTTCAGGTTGCTGGCTGGCAATGTCGTGTCTTTGCATGTCGTGGAGAAGAATGAACTATGTGCGAGTATCAGGGGGCTATGCCTGTACCAACGGAGGACCGATACCGGTGTGGACAATGCAACCACTCCTAGCTAGCTAGTACTGGTGGTTTCCGAAGGGTTACCGTACCTAGCCTGCTGGACTCAGAGCATGGAGATGCCGTGCTGATGACTTTCTAACTCTACTCTACTACTCCAACAAGCTGGTTGAAGCCCTGCCAGTTTGCAGGATTGGATTCCACCAGCACTGGATACATCAGTAAGACCGGCACAGAGTACCTCAATTGAGGGTAAATGCATTCCTTGTAATGCAAAAACTAGCTAGATCTAGAAATTTGTCAAGGGAGAAGGTGGATTTTAGTATTAGCCGATGACGCACAGCTGCGCCTTTGGATCTTTTGTTTGCAGCCATTTCCCTCCTCGCTGTTCACTCCATGTCGGCCATCGTCACGGCTCAGAGCTTTGCTAGCCAGCTACTAGTAGTGTAGTTACAAAGAAGAGGCACAGGACTTTTGGACTCGAGCCATTGTTGCAGCCGAAACGTTGATTCGTTGGGCACCTCTGCATCAAGACTTGGTGGGGAACGACGAGGTCACTACTATTTGCATGCATGCTTACCCATGCTCCCACTTTGGATCCGACGACGACACAACACTGGTCACCAGCACCCGACGCAACATAATATCCACAACATGGACAACAACGCCCTCAACAAAAAGTACCGGCGAAAGGGCGGTTCCCTCAAGAATGTTCTATCATCACAGGATGCGGTTTTGAGAATCTCGTTCGCCATGAACGTGCTGTTTGGGATAACATGGCTATGGTCCAGACTGATTGGAAATGAAGATTCCTTCATGTGGATTCGAGGAGATGAGCATGTGTGGCATGGTGGTGGCACTCCATATGACAATGATCACAGAGGATCTTGTTGGTGTGGAGCCGATGGCTACTGTCTATGCACACCATTTGTGGCCTTTGATTTGATCCTGGTGTCACAAGAAGATGATGACACATTTTTCTGGGTGAAACAACGAAAGGATACCAACCAACTGGCCACTATTGGTGGTTTTTTGGAAGTTGGAGATTCCTTGGAACTGGCGTTGCATCGCGAATTGAAGGAACAAGTGGGGATTGTGTTGGAACAGCAAAGTGGCAACACACAGTTTCAAATGCTGGGAGTTTATTCTGACCCGCGGAGAGACAATCTACGAAGGAATGTAGCAGTGGCATATGTGGTTAGATTACCTCATGCCATTTACCCAAAAGAAGCTAAGGATGTCAGAAAGATTGCTATCAAGGATATTGAACAACATGACTTCTATGCAGATCACAAGATGATGCTGCTAGACTACCGACACTCCCTTCAGGCTGGTAAGCATGGATTGGCTACTACAACCTCCTTAAACGGTGCATTGGAAGGTGTGAAACTACAAAGTGCGCAGAAAGCACTGGGAATCACTCGGAGCTTGTGTATGTAGCCAGCTACTTGCGGTGACGGCCCAAGCCATTCCTGCAGAGCAAAAATGTTGCTGCGAGCAACACCAACCCAATTTTCTCCACTACCATGAGTGCACTGAATGCTACCAGTGCCAACACCAGCAGAACCACTTGTGCCATCAATGGCAGTTTGTCAGCCCATGTCAAGATCTCAATCCCATTGGCAACATGGGGTGGCATTCCTTCCTGTGTGTAGCTGCCTTGACAGTAACCTAAAAAGGTGGTGCAAATCATTCGGTAGGGTGTCAGGACCATGTGAATACCAGTATGCTGTGGCAAGAAGGGTGTCCCATCAGCAAAATGAGCATAGCCAGTGGAGTATGCTTGTATCAAAATTATATAGCAAGACACCTTGACAGAGCCATGATTGACCAAAAAGCTGCCACTAGAGACCAGAGGAGCATAGATACCAGTCTTGTGAACCGAGTCAATCATAGTAACCTCAGCACCGTGTGGCTGAATCTTGTCACCTACTCGCAGAGAGTAGGCAGGAACAGGGTGTGACGTGCCTTGTCGATACAGGAGATGCTCGGGTGTGATCTCCAGTTGGCTGTTGCCTTCTGTCTCAATCACAAGAAACTCTGCCTCTCCATTGGGCAAGTAATGGCCAAAGGCATAGACATGTTCGTACCTGCCCTGTGCTGTCAAAATCTTGTCTCCCACTTGTAGGTCCTTCATGGGGACCTGGCCTTTCAGTGTCTGTACAGTAGTGTCTGCAGAGAAGCAAAATCCACCTCCTCCTCTGGAACCGGCACCAGAAGACGAACCGCCTCCAATGCGCTTTATTACAGATCCTATTCCATTCTCGTCCCCAGTGAAAAACAACACCACAATGATCAGTGCGCTCACCATGAAACATGCAAAAACTGCAAAAATCAATGCCCGATACGATCTGTATGAATCAGTACTCGCCATCATCGAGACACCTGAGCCAGGGACATCGTTTCCAGGTACGGTGGACAGGGGTGGGTGGTCCTCTTTGGGATCATTGTCCCTTGTGTTCACTTCGGTACTTGTACTCATTGCTTGTTATGGTGTCTGGGGTGCATCAAACGAAGAGAAAGTACCGGTACACAACATGCTACTTTGTGAGAGCTGGGGTGTAAACCGGAACGGTACTTGGTTCGCTATCCAGCTAATAAAATAAATAAATAAATTAGTACGGTAGGAGGATTTTGCGCGACCGGTACTCTGGAACGTTGGGTAGTCTGAATCACGAATACCGCCTTTGCAAAGGTCTCAAATTTTATCTCATATGGTTTCTGAACCTACTAGCTAGTCCAGCTATTCCTGGCGTATCTATTCAGAAAACGAAGGAAGCGATCTAGGTTTTCAACAAACCATCAAAACAGTCTTGAGTTCCTGTACCCAACGACCCTAACTAGCCAGGAGCTGAGCATGCACACTTCTGGTATTCTACAGTACAGCTCAGACACGGTCCGAAGGTGGTACCGGTCCTGGGAATTGCCAAATTCGTTTTCCGGAGTCACCAGTTAAAAATAATAAAAATAATATTCATAAAGGCTATGGAGCTACCGTGCGTGTACCGGTTCGTTTTGACAACTATGTCGAACCCTTACCGAACCCGTTTGGTACCACCACCGAAAATGGGCAAGCCATGCTCTGAGAAGAAAGGATTTGCTACTACAACCTCCTTGAACAGTGCATTGGAAGGTGTGAAACTACAGAGTGCACAGACAGCAGTGGGAATGACAAGGAGCTTGTAAATGTAGCCAGCTACTTGTGGTGACGGCCCAAGCCATTCCTGCAAAGGAAAAATGTTGCTGCGAGCAACACCAATCCAATTTTCTCCACTACCATGAGTGCACCGAATGCTACCAGTGCCAACACCAGCAGAACCACTTGTTCCATCAATGGCAGTTTGTCAGCCCATGTCAAGATCTCAATCCCATTGGCAACATGGGGTGGCATTCCTTCCTGTGTGTAGCTGCCTTGACAGTAACCTGAAAATGTGGTGCAAATCATTCGGTAGGGTGTCAGGACCATGTGAATACCAGTATGCTGTGGCAAGAAGGGTGTCCCATCAGCAAAATGAGCATAGCCAGTGGAGTATGCTTGCACCAAACTTATATAGGAAGACACCTTGACAGAGCCATGATTGACCAAAAAGCTGCCACTAGAGACCAGAGGAGCATAGATACCAGTCTTGTGAACCGAGTCAATCATAGTAACCTCAGCACCGTGTGGCTGAATCTTGTCACCTACTCGCAGAGAGTAGGCAGGAACAGGGTGTGACGTGCCTTGTCGATACAGGAGATGCTCCGGTGTGATCTCCAGTTGGCTGTTGCCTTCTGTCTCAATCACAAGAAACTCTGCCTCTCCATTGGGCAAGTAATGGCCAAAGGCATAGACATGTTCGTACTTGCCCTGTGCTGTCAAAATCTTGTCTCCCACTTGTAAGTCCTTCATGGGGACCGGGCCTTTCAGTGTCTGTACGGTAGTGTCTGCAGAGAAGCACGAGCCGGATCCACCTCCTCCACCGGAACTGGAACCAGAAGATGTTCCACCGGAACCGCCTCCAATGCTCTGTATTGCAGATGCTACCCCCTTCGCGTTTCCAGTGGAAAACATCACCACAGCGATCACTGTGGTCACCACGAAAAATGTGCAAAGTGCAGCAATCAATGCCCGATACGATCTGTATCCCTGACACGCCTTTTGTGATGAACCGGTACTCACCATCAATGAGACATCCGAGCCAGGGGCATCGTTTCCAGCTATGGTGGACGGCGTTGGGTGGTCCTCTTCGGGATCATTGTCCCTTGTGTTCACTTCGGTACTTGTACTCATTGCTTGTTAGGCGGCTGGGGTGATTACTGGTGCACTCCATGCTACTTTGTGAGAGCTGGGGTGCATCGAATGAAGAGCACGTACTGTACACTACTTTCTTACTACTTTGTGAGAGATACCATGGAAGCTCAGACTTGGTGCTGGGAATTGGAGCTCAGACGTGGTCCTGGGAAATAATGCCAAATTCGCGGGCTACGTGTTGAAGAGACTAAAGGTAGCGATAGATGTATTACGAATGATGTTATAAGATTATGAGGAAAAGCTACTTTGTTGTCTCTGTATATCTGTAGATCTGTAGATGGGTGGAGGCTAGATTCTGGTTGACGGTTGACCGTCAGACGGCCGGAATCAGCACACCCTCAGCCTCTACTCAGGTATGGGCTGGAGATATCGTGGGCGTTTGAGAATGTGGTGAGCTGTCGGGTGATGCTTGCTGAAGTAGTCAGCATCATTCTCTTTGCCCGGGCGCCAATATACTAGGAATTGGCCCTGTTGTATGCGATCTCTGATCCAATAGAAGCGCATGTCGATTGCTTTGGATCGTCGTTGTTTGACTGTGTTTAGGGCGAGTCCCACGGCTACCTCGTTGTCGGTTTGGATCGGGGTGGCTGGTTGTGGGTGGCCCATTTCGTCTAAGGTTGTGCGGATTGTACACGCTTCTCTGGCATTGTAGTATAGCGCTGCCAGTTCTGCTTCCGTGGCTGAGGCAAGCACCATGGGTAGAATGGAGCTGATGATTAGGATGGCTCCGTTGTGTGGAGGGAGCTTGTCCGCTGGTTTGGGAACTGTGTTGGGTTGTTGTAGTGAGTCAGATAGGATGAAGTGGCCTGCCACTCTAGAGCGTGCTTCGGTTTCGGAGTGGTATGATGCATCACTGTGTATGGACAGGATCATGCCGCTTGCATGGTATCTGACTTTGGCGTCTGGGTGGGTGAAGCAATAGTCTAGTAGTTGTGCTGCAGCTCTCTTGGTGGCCTGTGTTCCTTTGGTCTGGGCGGAGGCTAGTGTGCCAAGGGCTACTAGCATGGTTGAGTCCACTGCTCTTCCATAATATAGGAGGGTTCCTATGATTTCTTGGAGGCGTTTTGTGTCTTTTTGTTGGAGAGGATTGGTAGTGTCAGCTTTGGCTGTGAGCTGGGTCTTGGCTCCATATTGCGGTAGGTTGCATTTGTATGGTGAATGTTGGGCTCTGTTGGGGTTTGGATGTTCGAAACGTGCTAGGGCTTTTGTGATGTACCCTGGCATGGAGAGGTCGACGGTTCTGTTGGTGTAGTCCCAGTTTAGGGTGAGACCGCAATAGAGGCTTCCGGTCCA